TCGAGTCAACGCTCGGCAAGTTCTGGGCCTATGTGGCCTAGCTCCAGCAGCCCGGCGGGATCAATCCCAACATCGGCCAGGTCCTTGCGGAGCTCCAGGACGACTGCGTTCTGCTTCTGCTTCTTGAACTGCTGGAGGTGCTGCTTCAGCTCGCGCTGACGGTAGCGGCGATGGGCGTCCCTGATCTGGGCCTCGTCCGCATAGTAGCTCCTGTTGGGCGTCTGATTGTACTCGCAAGCGCGCACGTGATCGTGGCAGGCATAACCGCTGACACACTTCCTGTGACAATAGGCGCAGAAATTCTGCTTGCACACCTCGCACTGCAGCGCCATGCATCCCGTGAAATCGAAGAATACCGTATCGCACCCTGGGCAACGCAAGTTCAAGATAGTGTTGCGGATCCTTCGCGCCTCCTCCTTCGCCTCCTGCACGATCTTGGAGTCCGCGTCGCCATACTTGGCCAGCTCCTGCTCCATCCTCTCTTGCAGCTTCCTGTCAAAGTCCGACTGCAACCTCTCGGTCTGGATGCTGACTCGGATGTCGACGACGGACGACATACTCTTCTCGAAAGTCGCCGAATCCAAATGCTGCGCCATCTCTTTCTGATCGAACGGCTGCTTGCACTGAGGGCACGTATAGCGAAAAGATTGTGCCCTGAGCTGCGGGTCCTGGGACCTCATCATCTCGCGGAAGCAGGGGTCTGGGCAGATGTAGTGGTCGCCCCGACAGCGGATGAGGGCGGTGGTTAGCTTCTCGTCGCGGCAGCACATGCACTCGGCGCCTGAATAGCGCATCTTTTCAGGCCAACTCGTGATCCGCTCAGCGACCTGCACCAGATGGTGCTGGACCAGATCAGAATTCTTCTTCGCCGTCTTCTTCGCCTTTGCCTTGTCGCCAGGTCCACATGCGCCGCTGTCGGCGCCGCCACTGCTGCCGCAGCGGATGGTGACCATGCCACGGCCAACGTCGAAGTCCAACCAAGTCACGACGGCGGGTTTGCCCGCCCTGACAGGCCTCTCCTTCGCTTGAAGAGGGCCGTCCTGCGCCCAGAAGAGACGTTCGCCGGAGGCGTCGCACAACTTCAAAACATCCTTCTCCACGTCGTCCTGGATCTGCGCGACCACCGCGCCGCCAAACCTCACGACTTCGAGACCAACGTCTGACCAGGCCCTGCTGGCGATGCAAGACTGCACGGCGACCATGGCCTCGAGCCCGTTGCTGCCAGACACCAGCACCGCCAGCGCCCCGCCTGCCTGCTCCGCGCGCCCGAGGCGGAGGGAGCAGGCACTCTCGGCGGCCTTCTTCTGCATGGCCGCCCAGCACTGCGCAGAGTGCAGGACGTGGAAACGGTCCACGGGGTCGTCCAGGCGGTGCACGACCGGCTCCCTGGTCGGGGGACGCCATCGGACCGCCTCACCGATCCTGCCGGCTACACGGAAGAGTGCCCACTCTGCAAGAGTGGCCTCTGGTGCGCGGACTCGGGCGATACCCAAGCGCGCAATCAGCTGCTATCGCATCGCGCTCGGCGATCGGAGGGACCCCGATGATCGGGTCGGGCGAAAAGGGGGGGATAGCAAAGGGGGGGGTTGAGAATCAGCTCACGTAGCTGATTTTCCCGGCGCCTCCCGGCGCCGGAGGCGGCTATGTATTGAGGAATGGGCCCCTCGGTGGGGCCGAAACCAGCTGCATGCAGCAAATTTCGTAACCCCCCCTTTCCCAATCCCCCCCTTTCGTCCGGCCCGAGATGAGCCCGCACCAGAAGGTCACTCCGGCGAAGGGTCACTCTTGCGACTAGTCGATCCTGGCCGGGGCCGATCCTGCGCAGGGTCGGTGCGGCGGCCGGTTGGCCAGGAGCAGAGCGAGCTAAGGCAACGGCAGCTCGAAGTCGGTCCGCGGACCCCTCACGGAGCCCAAACGCGGCAATTTTCCGAGCTGCGACCAGGCGTGGCGACGAGGGGGCCCCCCGAAGGCCAACTACAATCAGACCTGAGAAATCAGAACATCCTTCAAGAACATGAGACCCTCCGCCGGCCTTCACACGCAGAACATCCGAGGGTGCCCTCCCCCAGGATGCACAAGAACACCCAGCAAGCACGAAGAACAGAAGGGCACCCTCCCCGAACCGAACTCGACCTTGTGCATCGGTTCGACTGTATTGAAGGGGCCCCAGGACACACAAATAAGTACACACAAATAAAGATATTCCCCATATTTCCACATATTTTCTAGGTTTTTGTCTTCCCCCCCCACTTCCCATAGTTTCCCATATTTCCCTAGGGATCGACGATTAATTGTGTCTGTGTGTTTTTTCCTCTCCTGATGTATCGCTGTCTCAACTCGCCCTGATCCGACTGACGCCGCAGGGCCTGGAGCACTCCAGCAGCGGGACCTCCCCCGCGGCCCACGAGCCCCCGCAGGAGGCGCCGACGCCCGTGCCTCGAGGCCTCCCACATTGGGTCCGAGTGTGTATGTGGTCGGAGGACCGCGCCGCATCGCCGATGCATCGCCGATGCATCGCCGATGCGTCGCCGACGTCGGCGATGGATGCATCGGCGCCGTCGGCGTGGAGAGAATGGGCCTCCACGTCACGCCGCATCGCCGATGCATCGGCGCTGCGGCGCGGTCCTCCGACCACATCCACACTCGGACCCCATCCGGGAGGCGTGGAGTGCCCGCTCGGCAAGGCTTCGGCGTGCGCACAGACGGCCCCCCCGGGTAGTTCCGGCTGGCCTCGAGCAGCCCAGAGCAATCTCCACACCCCGGCGCCGCCTCTGGCGGCACCCCTGGAGCGCTCCACGCTCCAGGGCTGGGGTGTTGAGACCGCCCCAGACTACCCGGGGGCCCTGTCGAGGCTAGCCGGGACTACCTTCGAGGGCTGCCAATGCGCATGTTGAAGGCTTACCATGGGGGAACCAAGAGGCACCGATACCGCCTCGAAGCGACTCCAGCGGTGGCGACGAGGGCCTCCCAGGAGGCCCCCCAAAAGGCGAAAACGGGGCAAGGGCAGCGTTCTCGGTACCTGTTCTCGGCGGCGCGCCCAGGGGGGGCGTGAGAAGGAGAATGCCTCCTCGGCAGGCTCGGGAGTCCCCCCGGGGCTTCCGAGGAGCTCCCGGAGCCTTCCCCGCAGACGCAGGGCACCTCCCCGGAGGCAGGGGGGCTCCCGAGAGGCCCCGCCGCTCCTCGAGAGATGGCCTGCGCCTCCTCGCCTCCTCCCCTCGCCCGCCGCCAACTCCGGGGGGGCCCAAGCAGATGCACCACCACCTCCCTCCCTCCCCCTCCCCCTCGCTGGAGAGAGGAGAGATCAAGGGGCCCAAGGACACACAAATAAATACGCACCAATAAAAAATGATGCCCCATGTCTTCTTACATTGTCTGGGGTTTTGTCTTCCCGCCCAACTCCCATAGTTCCCCATCTTCTCTTGGGCATCGACGGTGCATCGTGTCTGTGTGTGTGGTTTTCCCCCCCTCCTGCAGAGAGGAGGCGCCGACGTGGCGGTGGCGTGCACTCTCTGGGCCCCGCGGCGGCTCCTCCTCCGATGCCGCCGTGCCTGCGGCGGGGGCGGCGGCAGCCACCAGCGCCGCCTGCGGCCCGCGCCAGCGCGCCACGCCGGCGAGGGTGCGCGCCCCGGGGCCAGGCGAGGCCTCGGGGGGCGGGCTGCACGCGGGGATCTTCTGACTACCTACCAGACCACCCCAACCCCACCCGAAGACCCGAATTTGACCCGAATTTCGGGTTGGGGGGGGTACGGGGGGGTCCATGTGTTTTTTTCAACGTTCCCCGACCCCCCCCCCCACTGGAAATGCAGGGCAAATTGAGGCCTTCGGGTTGGTTTGGGGTGGTTTGGTAGGTGGTGATCTTCTGACCCGGGTGAATCCAGACCCAGGTCAAAAGGAAACCAGAAACTGCAACGCAAGGGGAGAAAAAGAAACTGCAGCGCAGATCTTCGCAAACCTGGGTCAGCCAATGTGCGCGGCCGCCCCGCGGCCACGAGCGGCTCGCTGACCCGGGTCAGCCAGAGGGGGTCGTCGCAGGATCCTGCAGGATCTGGTGCCCTGGCTGACCCCCGTTTGCCTTGACCCCCGTCTCAAGGCTCCCGATGCACGGGGGTGCTGCTCGGGCCAGAGGAGGGGGGCGGGGAAGCAAAGGGGGGGGGAAGGGTGGAGTGGCCCAGGGGCACACGAATAGATTTGTGGATGCCACGACAGTGGACACCTTAACAGTCCTATCATCGAACTCAGAATGTGTTTAAACTGTCGGGAAATGGTCTAAACATGTTGTACACATGCGTTTTACATGTTTAAGACATGTTTGAAACATGTTTGAAACATGTCTTAGACATCTGGCAATTATTTGGCAGCGTGATTCCTCTCCACTGATCGTCCCCCACAAAAACAAATGGGCACAAGTCCCAGGATTCCCCGCACCTATACGACCACACCCTTCGGGTGACGAGGGGGTGGGAGGGAAGGGGAAGAGCCAGCTGCTGGCAACTGCGATGAGGGGGAGAGGTGGAGAAGCCCAGCACTCGCACTCGAGCCATACGCCGTCCGCCGCGTGGGCAGGAAAACAAGCTCAGCACAGCTCGCACTGCAAGGAGGAGGAGGAGGAGGAGGAAACAATACGAGGGGAGAGAGCGGCAGCAACAGCAGGGTGGAAAACGGAAACAAGAAGAACGATAACTAATCAATTAATGGGCGTGCCTGCCAGGGCTCGCCAGCATCAGGTGACCAGGGACACACAAATAGATGGACACAGATCCCAGGAATCCCCATATCTTCCATGCTTCCTAGATGTTCGTCTTCCCGTCCATTTCCTACATGTTCCACATTTTCCTGGGAATCGACGATTCCTTGTGCCTGTGTGCGTAAGTTTTTTCCTTCTGGAAAGAGCGCGGAGGAGCAGAGGCAAAGGCCGAGGGCGCGAAGGCAAGTGCCCTGGAGGGGGGAGGAGTAAGGAAGCGGAAAGGCAAAGGCCGAAGGAGGGGAAGGACGAAAGGGCGGGAAAGCAAAGGGGGGGGGAGGGCGGGAAAGAGAAGGGGGGAAAGGGCGGACAAAGAGCCGGACGAAAGGGCGCGACAGCAAAGGGGGCGTCGAGGAATCAGCTCACGCACCCAGACCTTTCACGTCGGAGGGTGGGGGGTGAGATCGCAGCGGAACGGAGAGCCCCCCACCGGGAAATCGGTTTCGCTTTCGTGCTCGTGTCGTGCGCGCGGGCGGGGCGAAGCTGCGTGGGCGCGCGAGAGGAAGGATGCCGCCGTGGCCAGGGGCTGCGGAGCGGGTTGTCCGCCCCCCCCCCCCCTGGCGCGCGGTGCCCGGGGAGGCCCCGTCGGTGGCGCGGAGGTGCTCTGTCGGTGGCGCGGGGTACCCCGTCGGTGGCGCGGGGTGTCCCGACGGTGGCTCCAGGTGTCCCGCCGTGATTTCTCGATGGTAGCTCGTGAGATCAGCTGTGATATCGACGGTGAGATCGATAGTGATATCGATTGCGCGATCGATCGCGATCGTGAGCTCGATCGTGAGATCGAGAGATCGATGGTGAGATCGATAGTGATACCGTCACAACAAATCTTTGGCTGGGTGTACCCCGCCGTGGCTGGCGATGCCCCATCGTGGTGTCCCAATGGTGTCTCGTGAGATCCCTTGTGAGGTTGGTAGCGAGATCTCTTGTGAGATCGATATTGAGATCGATAGTGATATCGATGTTGAGATCGATAATGCGCTCGAGATCGACAGCGATAGTGAGATCGATGGTGAGATCGATTGTGAAATTCGTTGTAAGAGCGATAGTGAGATCTGGTATTAGATCGACAGTGGGATCTTTTGTGAGATCGATACTGGGATCGATGATGAGATCGATAGTGATACTGGTAGTAAGATCAGTCGACTGGAGTCGAATGCGAGGTCGCATTTATGTGGTGTGAGCTCCATCGCAGCTGTGCCGCCTTCATTACAATCACCATGATACATTATCACCATGTGCGTCATCGTGCAATGTCGCCATATCATCGCCATCACAGTCATCGCAGTTGTTGTCAGTGGGTTTTCCTTTCTCCCCAAAAAAACCTCCTTATCATGACTCCTGGGGCTTTTCGCCGTGACCGACAAAAAAGCCCAGCGGAGGGGCTGGTCCCCGCTGAATGCAACAATTCTCGTGAACAGTCCTTTCCCAATATCCCACATTCGTCCAGCCTGAGCTGTGCAGTCGAAGACGCCGCAGAAGTCCGACTCTGGTGTCGAATCACGGAGCTCCTCTGGGAAATGCGCGAACGCGCAGTACTTGCCGTACTTGCACTTGGCGTCAATGTCCTCCAAGCTCATGGCTGCCAACTTCTGCGTGTCGATACTCTGCACGTGTGGACAGCACATCCGCGTGCGGAACAGCATGGGGTGGTACATCTTCTCGACGCTGTTCGCGGCCTCTTGCGGCGAGTACCGGTATTCGTACGGACAACGCCTTCTGTCTGGATTACTGTTCTGCCTGTCGACGTGGAACTTCTCGCACTGAACCCAGTCGTGTTTCGTGGGGTTTGCGCACTGCGCGATCTTAAACCTCCTGAGGTCGAAACGCGGCTGCGTTGGCCGCTCGGGTGCACCGCCCGTGTGACCCTTCCTCTTCCGCCTCCCAGCCAGCTGAAACGCGTCGCCGCCATCGACCGCTGCCGTGCATGGTGGACCGCCGGCGGCAGAAGGGCGAGGAGACGACGGAGGGGTACGACCCGGAGTGGCCCTGGCGGGACTGGCCTTGGGGAAACCAGAAGATACTGGTGCCGCTACATCCCTACCGGACCTCCCGCGGGATGCGTTCGGACCAGCATTTCGAGGCGAATCCAGCCTTGGCGACGAGGGCCTCCCCCGCGGCACAAGAGGGCAAAACCAGGCAAGAGTGGCGGCATCGGTACCTTAGCCTCCTCTGGGGCCTGCGGCCACTCTTCCTCCGCATCCTGGCCAGCTTGAACCCCTCGCCGGCACCGAGTAGCTGCTACGAGCGGTGCGCCAGCGTGCACAGGGCGCGGGGGCGGCGGAGGGGCACGGCGCGGAGGGGCAGCCTGCCTCCAATCCAGCTGAGACACCTCGCCGGCATCGAGTGCAGCCGTGACTGCTGGACCAGCGTCCGAGTGGCGAGGAGGCGGCGGAGGAGCACGGCGCGGGAGTGGCCCCGCGGGCCTTGCCTCCATCTGATGGCAGGTGCCAGCGCCGCTCGCGAGTCCCGCTGCCTTGAGCCCCGCGCCCTGCGCTGGCCAGGATGGCCTCCACGCAGAGAGGACTTCGGATGGCCCGAGATCGCTCCAAGACGGCACCAAGACAGCTCAAGACTGGCCCCAGGTGGCCCTGAGAGCCTCTGGGCAGCCCCAAGACGGACCGACGACTCCTAACACGCCCTTAACGGGCTCCTGCTCGAACCCCGATCGGCCAAAAAACACGGTGAACGTGTCTCACTATAGCCTACAGCTACGATGAAGAAGCGATCAACCCAAGTGGGCCAGCTGTCCAGCAAAATCTTGAGAACGCCACAGTCTTGCGCATGCAGCCTCGTGCACCTGCAGGGCGGTGAGAAACTGGGCCAACCTCCTGGGAGCCAGTGAAGAAGGCCAGACAAATCTCTGAGACGCTCCAAGTTGCCCCAAGAGAATATATCTCTAGGAGGCCCCCAGAACGCCCTAAATCTTTGGTGGTCATTCCGTTGTTCCATGATTTTCGCATTCTCGCCATGCCGGGCTTCCGACGGCCCAATACGGTCCCAGAGACCTCCAAAACAGCTTCAAGGTGGCCCCAGAAGCCCCCAAGAGGGCCTCGAGACGGGCCAAAAGGTCCCCTAAGGCGGGCCAAGAAGTCCCAAGACGGTCCCAAGACAGCCCCAGAGACCTCCGAGGCGGCCCGAGATGGTCGCAACAGGGCATCGAGATGGCCCAGTGGGGGCGCAAAACGGGCTTCTGAAGACCAAGCAGCCCCTGGTAGGCCCCCAAGAAGCCCCCAGGAGGCTCCAGGAGACCCTAAGAGGCCCCCACGAGGCCCCCAGGAAGCCCCACGAGACCCCCTAGAGGCGTCATGTGTGTCCTCCTCCCTCACCTCCCCCTCCTCCTCCCCCTCCTCCTCCCCCTTCTCCGCCTCTTCCTCCTCCTCCTCCTCCTCCTCCTCATCATCATCATCATCATCATCATCATCATCATCATCAACATCATCATCATCATCATCATCATCATCATCATCATCAGCCTGCTGCTGCTGCTGCTGCTGCTGCTGCTGCTGCTGCTGCTGCTGCATCATCATCATCATCATCATCATCATCATCAGCAGCAGCAGCAGCAGCAGCATCAGCATCAGCATCAGCATCAGCATCAGCATCAGCATCATCATCATCATCATCATCATCATCGTCATCATCCTCATCAGCATCCTCATCCTCATCCCCATCCTGATCATCATCAGCATCATCATCATCAGCAGCAGCAGCAGCCTCATCAGCAGCAGCAGCCTCAACATCATCACCATCAGCAACAGCCTCATCATCATCGTCATCGGAATAAGCATCAATGTCATCATCATCATCATCAGCAGCAGCAGCATCATCATCATCATAATGCGAGTAATGATAATAATAGTAATCAGCATCAGCAGCATCAGCAGCATCAGCAGCATCATTATCATCAGCATCAGCAGCAGCATCATCATAATTGGCATCAGCAACGACACCATCATCATGATCATCAGCAGCAGCAGAAGCAGTAGCATCAGCATCATCAGAAGTATCATCGTCATGATCGGCATACTCATCAGCATTATTATCGCTTCAGCATCAGCACCATTAGCATCAACAGCAACATCATGATCATCATCATCATCACCAACAGCAGCATCAGCATCATCATCACCAACATCAGCAGCATCATCATCATAAGCAGCAGCATCATCAGCGTCATCGCCATCATGATCAGCAGAAGCCTCATCATCATCGGAATCAGCATCATCACCATCATCATCAGTATCGTTTTCATCATCAGCAGCATCATCATCACAAGCAGCAGCATCATCAGCACCATCATCATCCCTGGATACGGACGCAAGATAAGGATGCAAGATAAGGATGCAGCACCCATCATCGTCATCATCACCAGCATCATCAACATCATCATAACCATAACCATCACCACAAGCAGAATCCTCATCATCATCATCATCACCAGCCCAAACCCGAGTCAGAACGCAAGATAAGGATGCATCACCCTCGGACGTCAAAGTTGGCTAAAGATGAGCGGCCGAAGCAAGGATGCAGGGCAACCCTTGTAACGGCACTCCATCCTTACTGTGAGCCTTGAATGTGGTAGACACGACAAGCGAACAAGGAGTAGGATGAGGGGGGGAAAAGGAGATGATGAGGTTCATTGCTGTCATCCTCCCACGAACTCTAACCATGGAGAAGAGCTGAGGAGGGAAGAGCGAGTAGGGATGAAAGAGGAGGGAAGAGAGAGGAGGAGGGATGGAGGAGGATGAGGAGGCACTCTTTTCCAGGCGCACTCCGCGTCCTCCTCGGATCGTGGGCGTATCACCAGACTGGGAGATGGTGGGCCTGAGCACTTCAAATACAACCAAAGCAGAGGAGGGATATCGGAAGTCTTCCAAGAGCAGCCGAGGAGACCCTCGGGCACGGGTGTTCCCTGAGACGACCACAGGCAAGGAGAGAAACGTACTCGAAGAGGCAATGGAACTGTAAAGCCCGAGGGAGCGGTCTGCAATGTTTGCTCAGCGTGTCCTGGCGACCCTGGCGACACGCTATGCGCTGTGCCTTTCAAGCGGATGGCGCGTCGCTGCGCTCAGCGTGGCAGGAGGCTGGGAAAGGCTCGTGACGTTGGCGCTTGGAAAGGGGGGGGGACGTGGATTGCGTGTCGCGCCCGAGCGTGGTGGGCCAGGACGTGGATAGCGCGTCGCGCTGAAGCGTGGTGGGCCGGAACCGTTCAGCCAAAGTTGTGGACCTCTACGTCCCCGCCAGAGAGCCGCCTCTCCCGAGTGCCACCGTGCTCCCTGGATTGGCGGCGCGAACCGGGGCCGTGCGAGGGGGCTGGTCCGCCGAACACGACCCCCCCCCCCTCCTGGACGACCCGCAGAGGCCCTCCCGTGCGGGAACCGCTAGAAATCACAGCGGAACCCGAACACGGAACATGACTGCCCACCAGACCACCCCAACCCAACCCGAAGACCCGAATTTGACCCGAATTTCGGGTTGGGGGGGGTACGGGTTCCAAGTGTCTTTTCAATGTTCCCCGACGCCCCCCCCCACTGGAAGTGGAGGGCAAATTGAGGCCTGCGGGTTGGGTTGGGGTGGGTTGGTAGGCGGTGATGAACCCAGAGGAGGAGGAGGAGGAGGAGGAGGAGGAGGAGGAGGAGGAGGAGTAGGAGGAGGAGGAGGAGGAGGACGAGGAGGAGGAGGAGGAGGAGGCGCACACCCTCCAACCCCAGACGTGTGTGTGGGGGGGGGTCTGGGACTGGCGGGCTGGATCCAGGCGGCCGGGTGAGGGCAGGCATCGCGCGCAGTACAGTCGGGGCGTTGACCTAAGGAACCCTAAGTAAGGAACGGGGCCCCTCTCTTCCACAAGTTAAATTTCGATTTCCTATCGAAAACATAAAGAAAACCTGAACCAGAAGGAAAACCTGACCTAAGGAACCCTAAATAAGGAACGGGGCCCCTTTCTCCCATAAGTTGAACTTCTATTTCCCATGGAAAACCTCAGGACAACAGAGGGCAAACTGTAGAACGATCAAGGAACACCGAGCCCCTCCCCAACGAAAAGGGTTCCTTCTTCAGGGCCCCTGCTGTAAGGATGCACGACAGGGATGTGCAGGGGCCCTGGAGAGACACTCTTCGAGCGGGGCGCGGCCAGCGAAAGCAGCCAAGGTGGGGCCAAAGGGGGAAGGCGCACGGGAAACCTCGGAAGGTCGCGGATCCTTCCTGGCCGTGCTGCCTGTATCGGCGGCGAGCCAGGGGGGAAAGTGAGGAGGGGCGGGCCTTCTCAGAAGGCTCGGAAGTCCCCGAGCCTTCTGGGAAATGTTCTCAGCCTTTCCCGAAGGCACGGAACATGTCTCAGAAGGCTGGAGGGCTTCTGAGAAGCCCCGCCGCCTTCTGAGAAAGCCTTCTCCTTCTCGCGTCCCCCCCTCGCTCGCCGCCGACTGTACACCTTAGGCGATGCTTAAGAAAACTTGAGTTTTCGGCCAGAGTCTCGATTATTCTTAATGTTTCAATGTAAATCCTAAGATTTTGATAGAAATTGTGGGTTTTTATTCGAGTTCTGAGACCATGAATTTCTTAACCCATGATTTCTTAACCATTTCGCGTGGTGTAGTGACCTCCTGCTCCAATCAGAACAGCGCGGGCCGTGCGGCCTTCCACGGGGCGGCCCCTCCTGGGAAGCCCTCCGTCCCGCCCCCTTGGAAGGCCGCCCTCGTGGGCGCGCCGCCGAGTCAGCTCGCGTTTTTTTTTCTCCTCGCGACACCAGCAGGGGCCAGACCACAAGAGACCTTTCCCGCCCTTTGGGCGCGCCGCCGGGTCGGCTCGCGTCCCCCCTCCTCCTGACACAGTGGGGCCTACAGTCGAGGCTGATTGAAGAGAGCACGCGAGAGGACACAGGGCCACGTGGCCACAAAGATGTAAAACGAGACACAAGGGTACCCTTGATTTGGCAGGGTCGACCTACTAATCAGCCTCGACTGCAGGCCAACAGAACAACCCTCAAAAACATGAGACCCTCCGCCGGCCAAAGCACACAGAACGTCCAAGGGTACCATCCCCAGGATGCACAAGAACGTCAAACAAGCACGAAGAACACCAGGGTACCCTTCCCGAACCGACTTTGATCTTGTACCTCGGTCCAACTGATACCTCGGTCCGACTTTACTTGTCTCGATCAAAATCTTGTCGGCCAAGTCAAAGACCGGCTACACGCAAAAGCAGCCATGGGTAAGAGCCACCTTTGGTGCGCGGCTTGTTGTGAGCCGCGGGGGGGCCAAGCACAAGTGCGTAAGACGTTACTATGGTATCGCGTCGGACCTAGGCCAAAAGAACATCCATCAAGAACATGAGACCCTCCGCCGGTCAAAACACACAGAACGTCCAAGGGTACCCTCCCCAAAATGCACAATAGCATCCAACGAACAGGAATTCGCCGGCCCAACAGGCCAGAGGCGTGCTAAGATCTCCGGTAACTACTTAACAGTATTTCTAGTTCGCGCGCGCGGGGCGGCCCCTGGGGGGCCCCGGACGAAAAGTACCCCGGCCGATCCCCGGCTGACCCCCGGGCGATCCCCAGGGGGGAGACTATTTTTCGCCACCCCTCACGAGGATCGTGGCCTCCGAGGGGGGGGGCTGCCAACGACTACCCCCCCTCCCGCCCCAAGGGCCCCCCAAGAGGCCCCAGGGGAGCCCAATACGCCGCCAAGGAGCCCCAAGACGCTCCCAAGAAGCCTCCAAGACGGCCCCACGAGGCCCCAAATAGCGCTCCAGGGCCAGCGGAATGAGCGAAGCGATTAAATAACATTAGGGTGACCAGTGACCTCCCCGAACCGACCAAGATCTTGCGCCCCGGTCCGACTGTACACAAGACCGTGAACTAGCTACCAAGCACGACTCCGAATATCAAACTCATAGGCATAATTAGCCGTCGATGTGATCTGTGATACGCTGCGTTGCTGAGCCCAGCTTGAATGTTGGTTCCCTTGTTTTGCTGCGCTGTGACATGATGTGTTTCACATTGTGCCACCCGTCGGGCCGTTCTTCCCTGCGCTGATCTTCTTTGTGTTGGCTCGTTTCGCTTTGATCTGGATAGCTTGCCTTGGCGGTTTGGCGTGGTGTCGCGGCGTCGTAATGCTCTGCGCACATGCGTGTACTTTGAATTGCGTCGCGCTACAAACCTATGAGCGACTGATGTCATGTGGTTCGTATGTGAGTCCCGCTGCTTTGCGTACAGTTGCGTACACAAGTTCGCGCGTATTGGCAAGGTTGGCATCGCCTTGTGTCGCATACCTTGAGTGACACGTATGTGGCTTGCAGCTGGTTGCCTTGACATATGTCAAATGGCTGCGCTCTGATGTTGATGTGCACTATGAGGCCGTGCTCTTGCTCACGAGTCGCGGGCAAACAACACAACAACGAGCGCAAGGTGGTGCTCACGGCCAGGGTTCTTTTTCGGTGAGGGTCTGGCACGGCCTCCGCTCCTGCTTCTGCATCTCTGGTCCTCCTGCCCCTCCGAGGGCCCCGAGATCCAACGTGGCGAACAAAAATGCAGCACCGTAAAAAAAATCACGCCTGGAGCCCCGGACCCCTTCCCTCCCTCTGCGCCACTCGTCGAGCCAGGGTCGAGCTGCGAAGGCCCCCGGGGATGTCCGAGAACGAGGGCTCGAAGAGATGGCGCGACGCCGGGACCTCCTCCTCCTCCTCCTCCTCCTCCTCCTCCTCTTCCTCCTCCTCCTCCTCCTCCTCATCCTCCTCCTCCTCCTCCTCCTCCTCCTCCTCCTCCAACGAGGCGGGCCCCGGAGAGGCCTGCTGCCCCTTCTGCTGCACCATCACCTGCTGCTGCACCATCACCTGGGGAAGCCGAAGAGGTGCCAGCACTGCTCCTCCCCAGGCCTCTCCCGGGGTGCGCTCGGACCGAGTTGTCGAGGCGAAGCGACCCCAGCGGGGGCGACGAGGGACTCCCACGAGGCCCCAAAGGGGGAAACGGGTAGAGGGTAGTGGTATGGGTACCTTTTCCTCCTCCGATCACCTGCTGCTGCGGCTGCGGCTGCTGCTGCTGAGGCTGCTGCTGCTGCAACATCTGTTGCTGCAGCAGCAACTGCTGCTGCTGCTGCAACTGGCCGCCCTGGGCGGCGGCCACCGCAGCTGGACCGCCGCCCTGGGCGGCGGGGGGGGAGCTCGCAGAGGGTGAGAAGCAGATAAGACGGGAACCAGGACGAGGATAGAATCGGGTAAGGATAAATCGAGAATCTCTGAAGTCCGGCGGCTCCAGATGTCTCGGGCGCCGCGGCCTTCTCAGAGCGCTCGGGAACACTCTGAGAGCGTTCCGGAACGCTCTGGAAAAAGGATTTATCCTCGTCGTAGCCACGTCCGAGAGAAGCAACACCTGCAGGACATTGAAGATTCTGCGAAGGAAGCCCAGGTCTGTAGAAACGAAATTAGAATGAGAGACGACTGCGTAAATGTTTATTTCGGAGCTCTGCGCGGATTTCTTGGACCAGCGCTGAGCCCCCCAACCCCCTGGCGCGGGGATTAAAGAAATCCTCTAGGAGCTCCAGAAGTTTATGTTGGGCTCAAGAAATTCCATCCGACGATTAGTAGCAAAGCATCACCTATTTGCCTGTGAAATTGCGCGGTTCCCACGGCACGTCCCCCTGAACCCTGAGCTTTTTTTTCGAAAGTTTGCAAGCTGCTTTCCACACAGCCTGCTTGCACGATCGTGAGGCACCCTTCCAAGGAGTGCATGCCCCAGCGCTCAAGACTGCCCTATACTTTCTGCACGCAATGAGTTCTCTTCCCGTATCCTTGAGCATTCCCTTCTTCCCGACGGTGACATCGCTCTGCTCTCATCGGAGGACGCCAGCTACACGCCTGCACCGATCCTGTCAAGGCGCCCCCCTGAGCCCAGGATCAGTGTGTGCGCCCTCCAGGCCTAGCCACGGGGGCATACACATGTGTGCAAACATACAAGACATAAACAATCATACACGTGTATATGTATGTACTAGAACCACGCGCGCTTCGCGCGCGCCTAGATTACCCCCCCCCTCACCATCATCATCATCATCATCATCACCATCATCATCATCATCATCATCATCATCATCATCATCATCATCATCATCATCATCATCATCATCAGCAGCAGCAGCAGCAGCAGCATCAGCATCATCATCATCATCCTGGATATCCTCCACTCCGTATAATCTCAACTCCCCTCAAATACCCACTCCCTCCCCTGTTCCTCATCATGCCCCCTCTCCTGAGCTCCGTTCCCCCCCCCCTCCTCTGCCTACTTTCCCGTCATCCTTCTCCTCCTCCATCTCCTCTCCCTCTTCTTCCCCCTCATCCTCCTCCTCCACTCCCTGCGCTGGACGTATGAGGCCGCATGTAATGTTTTTGTATGATATGCTTGGACTTCCTTGTCCCGTCTTGGCGCTCTCACTCTCTCTCTCTCTCTCTCTCTCTCTCTCTCTCTTGGGCCCCTCTCGCACAATATTAAGGCCCGCTCTTACACTTTACAACACTTCCGGGGACAACCCTGGACACATATTCTGCTGGAGCGCTTCGGAAGCAATCGGAGAAGGAACGCACAATGGTGCTGGAGCATGTTTGGCGTGTCAGGGGCTTCCTCTTGGAGGGCACCCAAGAAGACAGTTGGGGCCTCTTGGGTGACTTTGGAGCGGGCTGCCTTTGGGTCCTGATCGGGACTCTTTTGGGCCGCCTTGAGATACCAGCGGATCACCCGTGGGCCATCATGGACCTTCGGTCGCTTTGGGTACCTTCAGGAACTCTTTGGGGCTGTGCTGGGGCCATCTGGGGCCATCTGAGGCATGTTATGTTTCGCGTCTGACTACGCATTCGCGCAGCACCAATGCGGAATATGCAGAGTAAGGTAAAACTCCAGGCGCTCGAGTGATCTTCAAGTCTACTAGCGGCACCACCAGCTGTTGCACATTCGAAGAGTGGCTACTGATGCTTAGCATGCTACCTCCTAAATTTCTGCTAACTGATCCGACTTCCTCTCGCATTTGGTCAGTCGAGCGATAACGGCAGCGCACCTGCACTGATGGAGCACTCTGGACCGGCATCCGTGCGTGGCATTATGGCGTGATGCCGATCCTTCCTGAAAGCCTATGTTTGTGTGTATGTGTGTGAGTGGGACCGCTGTGATCTTCCAGTGAAAAGTGCGGTCGGAGAGGCGAAACTCCCAAATGCGGATAATCATCTGTACTAGAGCGGCTGCAGCCTGTGCTGGGTAACACCTCATAGCGCCAACCTCCTGAGAGATGGGGAAGAAAGAAAAGGGAACGAGAGGGGAAGCGAGAGGAGGAGGAAGAGGAGGAGGAGGAGGAACGGGAAAAAAGGGAAGAGGAAACGCGTGAACCCCCTTCTGGGGCCCCCCTCTCGCCCTGGGGCTGCCCCGGCACCAGGGGGCGAGACGGCAGGCGGCCCGAACCGACCCCTCCGGCCACGGCACCCCGTGTGGGCTGGCGCCAGCTGCGGTGCTCGCGCCTCGGGCCCGAATCCGCCAGCAGGACTGAAGGGGCCCCAGGACACACAAATGAATACACACAAATAAAAAGATTCCCCATATTTTCCCATATTTTCAGGGTTTCTGTCTTCCCCCCCACTTCCCATGTTTTCCCATATTTCCTGAGGATCGCCGATTAATTGTGTCTGTGTGTTTTTTCCACTCCTGAAGGACACAGGCGTCGAAGCCCTCGGGCCCTCCGCCCCATGGCCGTGCTGACCCGCAGCTACTGCTGCCCTCTGCGCAGACCCTTGGCGCCCGAGCAGCCCGGCGGTGGGTTTGGGAGCTGGCATCGGGGCCGGCACCTGCATCCTCCCTGTGGTGTACCAAACGCTGGTTACGGCTTCCACAAGGAACGACAAGGAGATCTCACAGAACAGGTTGCGCAGCGCAACGGCTCCTCCAACGACATTCCCTGGCAATGCAGCAGATGAGGAAGAGACGAAGAAAGTAGATGAGACGGACGTGAACGAAGAGAAGCCGTTTCCCCGCCCGCGCAGGGGATCCACGGTGGCCGCCCAAAAATCCTGCACGCGGGGGATGGGGACCCTCGCAGCACACGTCTGAGTGGACCCCGCCTCCCACCAAGCCTCGGACAACAAGCCCCACGAGCCCCAAGTGGTGACTGTGCAGCTTCAAGCTTTCCATGCCGATCAGACCAAGCCCATAGTCAGAAACAAAAGGGCTACACCAGCTTACAGTGAAAGCCGGAAGCGCTCTGCAAGGCCAAATCGGCATATCCCATGGTAGCCCGGGGTAAGGGACGGGGATGGGGGGCTACAGAGGACATGAGGTGCGCACTATGTTCTAGCTTCTTCCGAGGAGCCTCTCAAACAATACTTGGGGTGTCTAAAGCTTCTTCGAGGCGATCGTGAAGCCATGTGGAGCCCAACGAACCCTTGAGAGACACTCGGGTGCAGGTGGGGGCAATCAATGGGAGGAGTCGTACTGTCCAGCCAGGGCCGGCGCGAGTGGATATCGAATATGAAGTGGGCCAGCTTGGAGTGAAGGGGTCTCTTGGGGCTCTTCCGCCTGGGAAGCGCCTCTCGGGGGTCTGCGCTAATGAGTAACCAAAAAAAGTCCCCTAACCCTGAGGGGACTTAAGTCAGGAGAACCAAAAATATCAGGGATAGGGGGACTTTTCTGCAGATGTATCGAACCAAACCGTCCAGATGTATCATCCCTGATGCAAGAAGGGGGACCTCAGTGAGGCCACGTCTTCATCGCGTTTTTAGGGTTAGGGGTTCTTTTGTTCTCGATGAGCCAATGTTCTGGCGTGGGGGAGGGGAAGATCGATCCCGAAACGACCTCCCGTGTGACTGCCCTGGGGAGGACAGCCGCGGAGGCGGCCGCCGTGGCCGCCTGCTGCAGGACCTGCTGAATCCACGCCGGCTGCTGGCTCAGGCCCGGCGCGGGCTGCTGCGCCTCTCCGCCGGGAGGCCGCGCGGAGGCAAGATCAGGAGCGGCGAACGCACGGCAAATTTCGTGCCGTGACGACCCCAGCGTCAGGCTCTGACACCGAGCGGGTCTTGCAACCTTCAGAGATCGGCTGGCTTGCCCATCGTCGAACCGCTCCATGGTGGCCGATGCCGTGCCACTGGCGGCGTGCTCGCGTGGCAAGCGCTGGACGCGGCTCGGAAAACTGGTGCGACAGCGTCGTCATCGTCGTCGTCGTCGTCGTCCTCGTTGTCGCCGTGATCATCGTCGTCGTCGTCGAGGTAGTCGTCGTCTGGGGGATTACTGGGCGCTTCCGAAAGCTCTCGTGGCCACAGCTGGATGCGGCTCGGAAATCTGGTTCGACAGCGTCGTCGTCGTCGCCGAAGTCGTCGTCGCTTTGGGGTGTTTGGGCGCTTTCGCGGACTCTTGTAGCCACGGCTCGACACGGATCGCACAATTGGCGCGGCGGCGGCGTCGTCGTCGTCATCGCTGACGCGATCGTCGTCGTCGACGTCGTCGTCGTGGTCGTCGTCGTCACTGTCGTCGTCGTCGTCGTAGTCGTCGTCGTCGTCGACGTCGTCGTCGTAGTCGTCGCCGACGTCGAAGTCGTCGTCGTCGTCGTCGCCGTCGTCGTCGTCGTCGTCGTGGTCGCCGTCGCCGTCGCCGTCGCCGTCGTCGTCGTCGACGTTTGTCGTCGTCGTCGTTGGCGTCGCCATCGTTGTCGCCGTCGCCACCGCCACCGCCGGCGTCCTCGTCGTCATCGTATTCGTCGAGGTTGTCCTCGTCATCGTCGTCGTTTTGACGGGGCGCACAAGGGGATAGAGGGAAGGGGGAGGGTTTCTTAGAAGGGGGCTGCCTCTTCGAATGAGCCAGCCGCCCTCTTACGAAGCCCAAGGGCACCCGAGCAGCTTCTTAGAAGCACGGAACAGCTGCTTAGAGGCAGAATCAGCTTCATAGAATCAAGCCACCCCCGCTTCTGAGATGCACGCCAGGAACAACGTCTAAGAACAACCACCAGCTTCTCAGACCGGGCACCCGCGCCTTTTCAGAAAGAGGATGCTTCTAAGAAGCCCCTCTTTGCGCGTGGCTGATCGTCGGCGTCGTCGTCGCCGTCGTCGTCGTCGTCGTGGTCGCCGAAGTCGTCGTCGAAGCCGTCGTCGATGTCGCCCTCGAAGTCGTCGACCTCGAGGTCGTCATCGTCGTCCTCGACGTCGTCGTCGAGGTCGCCCTCGAAGTCCTCGTCGTCTTCGTTGTCGTAGAATTCGTCGCCGGCGTCGTCGCCAACGTCAACGTCAACGTGTACCTCTTCGAATGCGCCAGCCGCCCACTTACGAAGTCCAAGGGCACCCGAGCAGCTTCTTAGAAGCACGGAACAGCTGCTTAGAGGCAGACGCAGCCTCTTAAAAGCAAGCCACCCGTTCTTAGATGCACGCCAAGAACAACAGCAAAACAACCAACAATTTCTCAGACCGGGCGCCCGCGCCATTTCAGAAAGGGAGGTGCTTCTAAGAAGCCTTCCCCCCTCCCACCACCCCCCTTTGCGCGTGGCTGATCGTCGGCGTCGTCGTCGTCGCCGTCGTCGTCGTCTTCGTCGTGGTGGCCGAAGTCGTTCTCAAAGTCGGCGTCGAGGTCGTCTTCCAAGGTCGTCGTCGCCGTCGCCGTCGCCATCGTCGTCTTCGTCGTCGTCGAAGTCGTCGTCGTCGTCGACGCCGTCGTCGTCGAAATCGTCATCGTCGTCGGCGTCGTCGTCAACGTCAACGTCGTCGTCGTCGTCGTCGTCCGAGCCGTCGTCGAGGCCCTCGTCGTCATTGTCGAGGTCGTCGTCGTTGTCGGCGTCCTCGATGTCGTCGTCGTCGTCGTCGTCATCGTCGTCGCCATCGTCGTCGCGGTCGTCGTCGCCATCGTTGCACCAGCAAAACATTACCATATCCGGTGCTGGAAGGGATTTCCCCCGACAGCTCCCCGAGCAGCAGGGCTGATTGCCTCCATGGCACGGATGTGCGAAGCGACCGGAGCGGTTAGGCCACAGGGCCGGCAAGGCTTGGCCGAGCGAGAGCCCCATCGCCCACATTCCAAGCGGAGGTCCCCAGCAACGGAGGGGCCTGCCTCCTCCTCCTCCTCCTCCTCCTCCTCCTCCTCCTCCTGCTCCTGCTCCTCCTCCTCTTCCTCCTCCTCCTCGTCCTCCACCTCCTCCTCCTCCTCCTCCTTCTCTGCCATGGATATGCCGCGATATCATCTACAGTCGGGGCGTTGACCTAAGGAGCCCTAAATTAGGAACGAGGCCCCTTTTTCCCATGAGTTGAGCTTCGACTTCCCATCGAAACCCCAAGCAGAACCAAAGGCGAACTACAAAACGACTAAGGAACACCGAGCCCATCCCCAACGCAAAGGGTTCCTTCCTCAGCGCCCCGACTGTACCCCGCGCCCGCGACGCCGCGATACCATCCGGGGGGCCGCCCGACGGGCCAGAACGCCAGGCCAGGGCGCGAGCTCTCACAGGCGACCACGCCCAGGCAGCCAGCCGTGGGTATGGATAAAAACGAAGGGAAGACCCCCACAAGAAGTATTCAAGGGGCCCCAGGACACACAAATAAATACACACAAATAAAAAGATTACCCATATTTTCCTATATGTATTTAGGGTTTTCGTCTTCCCCCCCACTTCCCATATTTCCCCATAGTTTCTGGGGGGTCGACGATTCATTGTGTCTGTGTGTGTTTTTCCCCTCCTGACACTCCTGCGGCCAGAACACCCCGCAGGCGGCGATGGCCCGCGAGCCCCCACCTCGGTGCCCGCCACGCCGTGATGTGCACATCCAGACCTGGTCTGAGCCCTCGAGCGGGTGGCTCGGGAGCCGGGGCCCCTCCTCCTCCTCCCCCTCCCCCTCCCCCCCCCCCCTCCTCCTCCTCCTCCTCCTCCTCCTCCTCCTCCTCCTCCTCCTCCTCCTCCTCCTCCTCCTCCTCCTCCTCCTCCTCCCCCTCCTCCTCCCCCTCCTCATCCTCCTCCTCCTCCCCCGTCCCCCTCTAAGGGCTTCAACGTAGAACGCGACCACAGAGGGCGAAATACATGTGCTGTAGAATGTGCCAGCATTACCGTCTGCCACACCACCAGGTGGTTGCTCTCGCTCCCTCGTGCGACAACGTCGACCTGACCTGCATCCACGGCCCAATCGCAAAATGAAGACGATGGCGTGCAAGATCTGTTCTAAGACGCATACTCCAGATTTCGTAATAAAGGGAGGGGGGTCTCATTTCGGGGGGGGGTCTTTTCCAGGCTATCTTGGAGGGCCTGGGGGGGTCTGGGGACGATGTTTTGGAGGGTTCTCCCACGGGGGAGGTCTGAAGTGGCTCGTCTTGCAGGGTCCAGACCCCCTCCCGTGTATTACGAAATCTGGAGTATGCAATCTTAACTTCCGTGTTGGATCCACCAACAGAAAGCCCATACCCTCCAAAACGGGATCAGCGGCGGTAGCGGTCAAATATCAGCGGTGGAATCGTCGTCGTCGTCGTCGTCGTCGAGGTCGTCGTCGTGGTCGTCGTCGTCATCGTTATCGTCGTCGTCGCCATCGTAATCGTCGTCGCCGCCGTCGTGGTCGTCGGGGTCGAGGTCGTCGTCGTCGCCTTGGCGGCGCGCACAAGGAGGTAGAGAGAGAGGGGAAGGCTTCTTATACGGAGGCTGCCTCTTAGAAGGCAACGGCCGCCCTTTCGAGAAGCCAGGGCTACGCCGCCTCTTGAAAACACCCCAGCAGCTTCTTAGAAGCGCGAAACAGCTTCGTAGAAGCAAGCCACACACTTCTTTGAAGCACGCCAGGAATAGCTTCTAAGAACCACCAGCTTCTCGAAATGGGCTCCCGCGCATTTTACGAGGGGGGGAGTTTCTAGGAACCCTTCCCCCCTCCCGCCACCCCGCTTTACGCGTGGCTGACTGCCGTCGTCGTGCGCGCACGAAAAGAGCAGAAGGAGAGGGGAAGGCCACTGAACATCTTCTTAGAAGCAGAAACTGCTTCCTAGAAGCAAGCCACACACTTCTTTGAAGCACGCCAGGAATAGCCTCTAAGAACCACAAGCTTCTCAAAATGGGCTCGCGCGCCTGGTTCGAAGCACGCCAGGGATATCTTCTATGAACAACCACCAGCTTGTTGCCAGGAAAGCAGGCGCCTTCTAAGAAGGGGGAGTGCGTCTGAGAAGTTTTCAACCTCCCGCCACCCCCTTTGTGCGTGAATCATCGTCGTCGTCGCCGTAGTCGTCGTCGTTCTCGTAGTGGTCGTTGAGGTCGTCCTCAAGGTCATCGTCGCGGTCGTCGTCGTCGTCGTCGTCGTCGTCGTCGTCGTCGTCGTCGTCGTCGTCGTCGTCGTCGTCGTCGTCGTCGTCGTCGTCGTCGTCGTCGTCGTCGTCGTCGTCGTCGTCGTCGTCGTCGTCGTCGTCGTCGTCGTCGTCGTCGTCGTCGTCGTCGTCATCGGCGTCGGCGCCGGCGTCGATGTCGGCAACGGCGACGTCGTCTTGGCGGCGCGCACAAGGAGGCAGAGGGAGAGGGTAAGGCTTTTTAGAAGGAGGCTGCCCCTTACAAGGCGCCGGCCGCCCTTCCAAGAAGCCAGTGGCACGCCGCTTTTTACAAGCACCCCAGAAGCTGTTTAGAAACATGGGACAGCTTACAAGCTAAAAGAACTGCTCAGAGGCAAGCAACCCACATCTCCTAAGCACGCCAGGAGCAGCTTCTAAAAATCAACTGCCAGCTTCTTAGAAGGGACGCCCGCGCCTTCTACGGAGGGGGGTACTTCTAAAAAGCTTTCCCCCTCTCGCCACTCCCCCTTGCGCGCGGCTGATCGTCGGCGTCGTCGTCGTCGTTATCGTCGTGGTCGTCGAGGTCGTGCTCGAGGTCGCCGTCGAGGTCGTCGTCTTGGCGGCACGCACAAGGAGGCAGAGGAAGGGGGAAGACTTCTCGGAAGGAGGCTGCCCCTTACAAGGCGCGTGCCGCCCTTCCAAGAAGC